TTCAAGCTTCTCTTGCCCTATAGTATTGTTCGAATAACTGTAACCTTTTAGCTACCTCTGCTACCTTGTTTATATCCTCAAGTGTCTGATCCATCATAAAAAAAATTTTTTTAAATAGATAGCGAAAGACAATAAAGGAATTTAAAAAAACCAATAAAAATAAAAACTTGATTTGGTTGAGGAATACTCCAAATAAAAGAAAAGGCTAAGTTCTCCACAAGGGATTCCAATTTGTTACGTCTAAACTTCTATAAGTGAAGGGCGGAATTTGTAGATTCGTTCTGCAATCAAATAAATTTAATTTTTGTTCATCCAGAACCAGCCATCGGCTGTAAAGCCTTATTTATTTTTACATACAGTATACTTTTCTTTGAAATCGTTGACTCGGCGTTGTGGTGTTAGGTTTTACCGAGCGATATGTATGGAGTAGTGTACGCTGAGCTGGCGTTGACTTACTGTTAGAGCTTATGTCTTATGTCATACGGTAAGAATTATGTGTCAATCAATAAGAATTTTTGGATCTTGAAATGTTTCATAAAATTTAGTAATTANTACTCGATATTCAATTTATTCATTAAGGTAAGAATTATGCGTCAATCAATTAGAATTATTAGATATTGAAATGTTTCGTATAATTTAGTAATTGGAATATTTTTGAATTTAGAAAATTAATTTAATCAACAACCAAGTTATGTCTTATCTGATGATTCACTAAATTTAGAAAAGCCAGAAATAGTTGATTTTACAAATAGTATAAATAATAAAGTTTTAGATTCACATTTACAATGTTATACAATTTATAGTTTCCTTAACTTAATTTACTTCTATGATAAATGGTTAGCCGCTGCTTGCGCCCACGCAGTTGCAAGATCTTACAAGGTTGACCAAAACGATTTTTCTAATCCTACACGAGAGCACTTGTGGCGATGACAATAATTAAGCTGGTGCTTTTAACGTTGGAACTCAAGTCAACGGTGCTTTCTTTCTTTTTCCTTCTTGATTTACTCTTCAGGCGAGTTTACAGTGGCCTCGTTTGCCTCGTTTGCTCGAGCTTTTTTTACACAGTTTTACACAGATTTTTTCAAAGTCTTACATCTGCCTAAAAGACGCAACATAACTTACTCTCCAACATTTATAGTTACTTTGGAGCACTTGATGAAAGAGAAAAGGTGAATATTGTTATGTGCGAGGAGTTTTTATCCTCTTGTTCTTAAGGAGGACGCGTCAAGTTGGGGATCTGAACAACCAATTAGAGCTTAACCTAATTACCCTTGACTGACATGAGCACAGCCATGGTGCAATAATTTCACAGTAATTGATGGTTAAAACTGGTGATCTCTTGGATTTTACATTAAGTACAAGTTGCTGTCAAAATTGTGTATGATATTTCTTGTGTACATCCGCAGTAAAGAATGGCGAAATTGTGGATTAATCACATTATTTGGTGTACTAATGCGAATTGATTTTGTAAGATGAGCGTTTTATAACATTATTGAGATTGCACGCGTAGTTTAAGTTTTGCGACGGTAGCTTGTTTCAAAAGAACTTAGTCATACGTCACGCGATTTCAGAATCAGGTATACCGCTTGATGGTTCAAGATTGCTGAGCTTTTGCTTTTAATTATTAAAAAACAACTCCGTGTTTTAAAATTATTAATATCAGGTATATGACATGGGATGTCACACCACGTCATAGTTACAAATTGAAAAAAAATTTTTTTTATTAAAAATGCATGGATAATGTATTATGATAATTGTTTTGTAAATGATTTTTGACGCTATTTCTAACTACAAAACTATTAATGCGTAGACTTTTAAGAATTATTATTGTTATTATATACAGGTAAAAAAATATATAAGAATATCGGTATGATGTACGTTTAGATTTAATTTAATGCTTCAATTTTAACATGTTGAGAAGAATGTGTTATGTGAAATGATATTTAAGCTCATTATACAGGAAGACCTCCTACGATTAAATATAAACTATTTTATTTAATCGATTAAATGATCCTTCCGTTATTTTTTCCTATAGGTAATTCAAGATAAAGAATGGGTTATTCAAAAAGTTACTTAAATAAGAGCGAAAAACAAAATAAAACTACGTTTCGCACATTATTTATATATACTGCAGACCAAATAAAATAAATTTCAATTCATTATTATATGATGGATGGTTAACACAATAATTTTTTATTCATTCTTACGTATTAATTTATTTTGATAATTATTTTGTAAATAAGTTTTGAAGTTCTTTCTTACTATACAACTTATTACGCGTAGACTTTTTAGAATTATTATTATGTATAGGTGAAAAAATTTTTAAAAACATGTGTATGATGTACGTTAAAACTTTGTTTAATTTTTAAATTCTTACGTATTCAGAAGAACGTGTTACGTGAGATGCCCTACATATTGTACTTTATCATGTAGGAAGATATCCTACAGCTAAATATAAATTATCTTATTTTACCGATTCTATGGTGCTTCCGTTATTTTTCGCTTTAGGAGATTTAAGATAAAGAACGGATGATTTGAAAAATTACTTAAATAAGAGCGAAAAACAAACTATGTTACAACATTATTCACATATACTGTCTTACAGACCAAATGAAATAAATTTTAATCCACTTTCATACGATGGATGGTGAACATAACAATTTTTTATTCATTTTTACGTTATAATTAAATGTAACTATTTAAACTATTTGAGATCCAAGCAAACAAATAGAAGAATTCAACGTTATCAAAGCTTATGAGATGCCATTGTTAATGGGACATCCAACGTTTCTACAAATTTCGAGAAAATGGAAAAAAATGGAAGTCTTTTCATACTACTATTGACATAAATTAAAAATCCACAATTTATGCAGAAACATTTATAAAATGGAATGAGAAAAAAACAGATATTTTCAATAAGAAAATGTGGTTGACCAGATTTATTTATAACAGTAATATGTTACCCTGAATAGAGAGAATCGGAGATAATTTTATTAAAATTTCTTAAAATTTCAAAATCAAATAATGTTTTTTAACATAACTGTAAGGCTATTTAACTTAAAATTGATGTTAGTTTTGGATGACATCATTTAAAATGATATGTTCAGTAAAGTAGAAGTATACGTCTACACCATCGAACTCCAAACACGTGGTTTATCTTGTGCTCACGTTTTAATGGCCTTGCATCGTAATAAAACAATTTATCACACATTAAAAAATCAATGCAATTATTACAGCTTAGTATCCTTCTAGTAATACGAAATGTACAAAATTAGTGATTAAACACATGCTCTATGGACCTTATACAGAACGAGGTCCGTGAATAATTGATTAAAAACGTAACAAAAAATTTTCAAAACTTTTTACACACATAATTTTATTTAAACAGATGGTTACTATAAATATAAAACAAAAAACAATACTTTTTAACAGCATGCTTATAAACTTCTAAGAAAAGAAACTATTTTAGTAGAGAATTCGATGGTTGTACCGTAAAATAAATTTTTGTTGATGAAATATGAATGTCATAGTAACGTCAAATTCTGTGCATTTATTCATAGTAGTATACGTATTATTACATACATCAAGGTAGTAAAAAAGTATACGTCAAAATTCGAAAAGTAGAAGACTAAAAAAAGCATTATTTTATAAAATTTACAGTTATATTGATGCCAGATATGCAAGTCCAGTTGAAGAAGCTTAAAGATTGTAAGGATTTCGAATTTGTGGTGGAAGTTATACAGTTGTAAATTAAACTGTTTGTCTTGAAAGCAAATAAAAACTTGTAACTACAGAAGTTTGTCTCTTTTTAATATTTAACCATTTTTTCTGTTTTCTTTGAAGTGTAACAAGTTTTGTACTTTATATGTTTATATTAAAAAAGTTTCTATTGCTATTATTTTTTAATATATTATGACATTAATATTTGTTTTTACATTTTTTCCATTTTGACTGATATAATTGTTACTTAACTAGAAAGTGATATGCTGTTTTTGAATTGCATGCTATTTAACTTTTTGACTTATGTTTATCACATTGGATGAAATAACATACTAAGCAGACAATACATAAGATATGTGGTCACTCGTATTTACCTTTGCTACCTATTAATCAGCCGTTGATTTAGCTTATTTCCTACCTTTAGTTTTAAAACATATAAAAAGCAGCTTCAATAATTCGTTAAACATAATTTTTATCAAGCTTTACACTAGTAGTAATCTATACCATGACTTATTCTAGGTATGATGCAGTCATTTATTTAAAATTGTATTTAACATTTCTTTTTTTATGAAAAACATTACTTGATTAGGATTTATCATGCTTTATTTCTTTGAGTACCATTGACTTTCATTATTTCTAGTGTTTTGTCTGCATAAGAAAATCATTATGTATAATACAAATTAAATTAATTGATACAAAACTGGGTTTAATAATGTGTCTTCTTAATCATCAAGAAATTAAATGATTTCGAATCATTTGACTTACTTATTTCCATTCTACTATTTTCTTTGTGTGATAACATAAATTCATCATGTTCCAGTGACAGACTGACATTTTAGCAGTACAATTTATTCCTTTTTTAAAAGTTTCTAAAAAAAAACTTAAGGCACATTGAAAAAAAGGTTTCTTAAATGAATCTCACTAACGTTTGTAAGTTATATTTTCAATTAAATTATTTGAAGTTTTTGGTATACATCTTTTCTACATTCGTTAAATGCAAAAGAATGTTAAATATCGGTCTAAATAGTACGATAGTAATGAAGTAGAAAGTATTCTAAAAATTTAAGTGAGCATAAAAATAATACAGAATTAATGTATTAACTGACTGACAATTTTTAAAAACTCAGGCATGACTTCAAACTATATCGTAAAAGATTAACATGTCATAGTTAAAAATTGGCATATTAAAATGAGACGTTCATATATTTAAAATTTTCTGATAGAATGAAACTTTTATGTTTCTTATGAGCGTAAGTACCAACTATCATTTGAAAACTTACCATTTGTTTTTTCTCCCAACTCTTCATTGCTGACTTATACTTCTCAAACTCATGACACCAGTCTGAGTATATTTTTTGATAATCGTTTGATTTTAATGGGGATGAACATCTATGAGCATCAACAGTAATATTATAGGAACAGAGAAGTGCACCACCAAGCCAGCAGTCATACCTTCCGGAATCCTGTTCGTTTACTCCAACAATTACCAAACCCTTATCAGATGTTTCAATAAACTTATCTCCAGCTATACCATTTTTATAAATAACTTCATAACGTCCTTTCTCTTTGCTATAGTGGTACCACCTTACGTCCTGATTTAATAAAACTTCTGGCATCTTTACAAAGCAACCAAGATGAACTGACTGACCCCAAGTAACTATTAGCTTTCGCTTTCCCACGCTATTTCCACAAATATCAAGTGAGCTGTTAGTAACATCCTGCAACAATCTAGAAAGAAAAGAGACAAGTAGAGTCTTAGAGAACTGTTAAAATTTTGAAAGGTTTTTTTTCTGCATGAAAAATATAAAACGATTTTAGAATAATTTGGTAAATGTCGCAAGATTTATCACTGTAAAGTACGTTCATAAGAAAAGTCAGTAACTATCTAAAAAATTTGTACAACAAAGAGTTAGGAAACATTACGGGTTACGAAGAAAATATACAAATTGAATAATCAACATAAAACTTAAAGCAGTTGAGCAAAATCAAAAAAGTTTATTAATAATGTTATTACCACAAAAGAAAGGGCATAACTAGTCATTCATGATCGTAAGTTACTACAAGTCATTATTTCAAGCTAAAAAGCCACTTTTGGCATAGTTATGAGCAAACGTTGCCACAAAGTACATCAGTCTTGCGGCAAGTAGCAAGCGAACGCCACCCTGAGTACAACTTTACGCAAAGCCAGGCGTTTTCGTAGTACTATTAATCTGCACATAAACATACTTGCTAATGTAAGTAACAAAAAAAGTATGTCTGTAGCTAGTTTGTTCATTCATTAACATAATTATCAAACAGGGTGTGCTTTACATGATTGCTACGCCATGTTAATCAAAATAAGTAGGATAGATAATAAAGTTATCAAACAAAAACTTTGCAAGGGGCCAGAACGAAAGACTCGCATAATTAGAAAAAACAAAAGTCATTATAAGAAAAAAATAAGGAAATAATGTGGTAAGCAATAAAGATCCTAATCCCGTAAATATTTTCATAAACTATTGTGGATAAGATTCCTCGCTAAGAAACCCTTCTTTCAGAATTATAACCCTTACGAAATAAAAATCCTTACTAGAATGTAACCCTTATAAGGGTTTTAAATACAAGTGGCTGTAATGACTACAAAGTTAAAAGTGCTACAGCATTTAGTGCACTTACTTGACTATTTCCACTCTTTAAAGCAGACTCTTACAAGTTCGTAATATTTATAAAAAAAATCTGCAGTAATGCAAGTTGTATACAATGTTTTTTCACGAACAGCTGCATAAATCTAATATAAACTAAGAATTTTATCTCATTTATCCTAGTTTTATTGTAACGAATTTTATAGCAAACTTCCAAACTTCTTTTTTCTATCATAATTTACAGTGCCATAAACAAATGACATTTAAATCAATATTGCCTTCATCAAAAACAAGCAAATTATTACCATAATCATCAATATCATTATCATTATCGTCATCACAATCATCAAAATCATCTTTAACAGAATCCTCTTCGTATTCATCATCATCGACAACATCATCATGATTATCATTATCATCGTCATCATAATCGTCACTGTGATCGTTGACATACTCATGAAATATATGATCATCATCATCATTATCATGATCATCATCATCACAATCATGGGTATTATCATAATGAACATCATCGTCATCATTATAATCATCATCATCGACGCCGTCATCATGATCATCATCGTTGTCGTCACCATTAAAATCATTATTATAATCATCATCAACAACATCATCATCATCAACGTCTATATTATCGTTATCATAACTAACATTATTATTATCATTATCATCATCATAATTATAGTCTTCATCATTAATGTCACCTTTTTTATTACAATTATTATTAATATAATCGATATTATTAATAAATTAATTAAAGTTCTAATTATCATGGTTATCTTAAATGATGCATATATTATAAATTTCTTTATAATAACCGTCATTAGCATTAATATCACCATCCTTAATAACATCAACATTGTAGCTAACTGATAATCATCATCATCATCATCATCGTCATGATCATCATCATAATCATCATCATCATCATCATCATCATCATTATCATCATCATCATCATCATCATCATCATCATCATTATCATTATCATCATCATCATCATCCTCATCATCATCATCATCATCATCATCATCATCATCATCATCATCATCATCATCATCATCATCATCATCATCATCATCATCATCATCATCATCATCATCATCATCATCATCATCATCATCATCATCATCATCATCATCATCATCATCATCATCATCATCATCATCATCATCATCATCATCATCATCATCATCATCATCATCATCATCATCATCATCATCATCATCATCATCATCATCATCATCATCATCATCATCATCATCATCATCATCATCATCATCATCATCATCATCATCATCATCATCATCATCATCATCATCATCATCATCATCATCATCATCATCATCATCATCATCATCATCATCATCATCATCATCATCATCATCATCATCATCATCATCATCATCATCATCATCATCATCATCATCATCATCATCATCATCATCATCATCATCATCATCATCATCATCATCATCATCATCATCATCATCATCATCATCATCATCATCATCATCATCATCATCATCATCATCATCATCATCATCATCATCATCATCATCATCATCATCATCATCATCATCATCATCATCATCATCATCATCATCATCATCATCATCATCATCATCATCATCATCATCATCATCATCATCATCATCATCATCATCATCATCATCATCATCATCATCATCATCATCATCATCATCATCATCATCATCATCATCATCATCATCATCATCATCATCATCATCATCATCATCATCATCATCATCATCATCATCATCATCATCATCATCATCATCATCATCATCATCATCATCATCATCATCATCATCATCATCATCATCATCATCATCATCATCATCATCATCATCATCATCATCATCATCATCATCATCATCATCATCATCATCATCATCATCATCATCATCATCATCATCATCATCATCATCATCATCATCATCATCATCATCATCATCATCATCATCATCATCATCATCATCATCATCATCATCATCATCATCATCATCATCATCATCATCATCATCATCATCATCATCATCATCATCATCATCATCATCATCATCATCATCATCATCATCATCATCATCATCATCATCATCATCATCATCATCATCATCATCATCATCATCATCATCATCATCATCATCATCATCATCATCATCATCATCATCATCATCATCATCATCATCATCATCATCATCATCATCATCATCNTTATAGTGTTAACTATTACAATTATTACCATTTCTATCATTATTATTATTATAAGTTAAATTATTATAATAAATTATGACCATTAGTATTATTATTATCAGCATTATCATTCTTATTATCAGCAGTATCGTTGTCGTTATCTTCGTCATCATCACCATCATTGTCATCAACATCACCTCTACCATTAACTACATCGCCTTTATTATTTCTACGATCATGATAATCTTCAATATTATTATCAACTTTATCGCCGTTATTACTTTCATACTTATTATTACTATAATGTTTATCACCATCATTACCATCAACACTTCTAATATCATAAAATAGTTGTGTTTGAATTGCTTACGAATTCATCAAGGTGCTTGTCAATCTAGCTTTTGTAAACGATGTAATAAAAAGCATTATACCTCGCTACACAATGATTCAAAGATAAACAATATGACAAACACGACCCCCTCTTTTAACACAGTTTAATCGTCTAAAAATTCTACTACGTTACTGATTTTTGACTAAAAAAAAAAGTTAAGCGCAGCTATAAACAATGTGCATGCTAGGCTTATGGCAATGGCCAGCGTTTACGTTTTAAATGCGCAGAGAAAGTTTGTACGCACTCGTGATTTACTTGATACAAGCCATACCGTGCATTTGATTTCGTCTCGTTTAGCCAATTTATTAGGCTTGCCCTTTGAAAATTTCTCTGTTACAATCCGAGCGATAAACGACTTAGGTACAGAATGAAACCAAAGCTTTAGTATAAAAATTAAATCTATTTATAATAATTTTTCCAAAAAGCTTACTTGTTTAATTATTCCACGGATAGCAAGTTTGGTACTTTCGGAAAAGTTTTCGCGTCATTTGATTAAATTAACAAGTAATATCCAACTCACTGATCTACAATTTTACATACCAAGTGGTGTTGATTTGTTAATTGGCTCAGGAGCTACATTTTTGCTGTTTTCTTTTGGCCAAATAAAACTTGCTACCGATCCATGTGATCTTTTTGCTCAGAAATCTTTATTAGGCTGGATCATCGCGGGAGGTCTTCGACGCGATTTTCTAAAGGATTTTTTATTTTGCAATTATACCATCTTTGAAACTAAAGGTATTTGTAATGAATAATTAGAGAAGTTATCACAAATCATGACTAAATTTTGAGAAATAGATGAAATACCGCGTAAAAAAGATATCGACTGAGCAGAGGAATCGTCAATTGACTATTATTACGCTCAAAATACTACCAGAGATCCCAGCGGACAATATGTCGTGCGTTTGCGGTTTCGTGTAGATAAAATAGATCTTGGCAATTCAAAAAGTTAAGCATTGTGACAATTTTATTCGCTTGAACGGCGTTTAAACGCGAATCCTGAACTTCGAACCAAATATTTCTGAGTTATGCAAGATTATATAGATCAGGGGCATATGTCAATCGTTCAAAACGAAAGCAAACAAGGTTATTTTATACCACAACATCCAGTGTTTAAGCCATCGAGTTCTACTATTAAAGTACGAGTCGTTTTTAACGCTTCTTGTAAAACTGATAAAGGAATTTCTCTTAATGATGTGCTAATGGTGGGTCCTACCATCATACCAAGATAAGCTTTTGAATCATTTATTGAGATTTCAGACTTGCGCTTTTGTAATTATGGCAGACATAGAGAAAATTTATCGTCAAGTTTTGGTAGATCCTCAGAATCGAAAGAATCAGCGTTTGTTTTGGTACTATAGTAACGGATGAATTTATCCTTTCGAAATGAACACAGTAACTTTTTGAAATGTTTCAACTGCTTTTCTAGCAATCAGGACTACACAGAAATTAGCCGAGGACGAAGGCACGAAATTTTTTTTT